CCTCCTCCTCCTCCTCCTCCTCCTCCTCCTCATGCTCCTCTTCCTCCTCATCCTCCTCTTCCCCCTCTTCCCCGCACGCGTGCGGGCGGTGCATGCACATACATGGGCAGGTCCGTCGGCGTGCGCAGAAGCCGCGGCGCATGTATGGATTCTATCGGATAGGGGGAGGAGCTTCGGAAGATGGAGATGAATGGGAGAGGCAGCAGCGGCTGCAGATAATTGCCGCTTTTTCCCATCGTTTTCCAAGAAGCGCTGCGATGACGTGGCGATGAGAGCTGGCCTGCAGCAGAAAGGGGGGAGAGGGAGAGGCGCGAGGGGTGTGTGAGAGAGGAAAAGGCAGAGACAGAGTTTGACATACACAGAGAGAGAGAGAGAGTGTGAGAGAGAACGAGAGAGAGGCAAGGAGAGAGAAAGAGAGAGAAAAAGAGAGAAAGAGAGACACAAAGAGAGTATGGGTGAGCAAGATAGCGAGAGATGCAGACAGATAAAGAGAGAGGGAGAATGAGGGCGAGGGAAAGAGAAAGAGAGAGAAAGAAAGAAAGAGAGAGAGAGAAGGAACGAGAAAGAGAGAAAATATAATACTTGCGTCTCGACAATACAATTTAAACGGATATTACGTTGCAATTCATCACAATTTACGTTCACTCGTCGGCCTAATGTTCAAGAATGGTGAATTCATTCACCAGGCCATCCACAACCGACGAACCGTATATGGCCTTGGGAAATTTTGCGGACTTAGGAGCATTTAAGTCATTTATAATCTATCGTATTCGCTCACTAATTTATTATCGTCTGTCACTCTGAATTATGCAGAATCCCATCAGCTGATTTCAAAGCCGGAAACAGAACCCGTCAATTATTAATGCCCTGACAAATAGGCAGTCACGTGACGCGTTGCCATGGATGCCAGTCCGCGTTAGTGCCACCGCCGTATCGGCACACGGCCTGATCGCATTGTTACGTGTACGGATGAAAACAATGGTGGGTCCGTCACGCACATGGAACCATCGCGGATAACAGACGCTCGTGTTTCCAAAGGAGTTTTGATCAATAATTGAGTATTACTCGCGCACCGTTAACTTCCTTTGAAGCGGCAGCGGGTGTTTATGTAAAGTATATAGATGATTGTGGGCGGGTGCCGAGGTAGCATAGCAAAGGTATGGTGAAGGAACGTGTTCGTGTTATTCATGGTAGAAGCAAACTGCCTATGTGGAGATGCATGTACCATCCATGGTTTCCCTTCGCACAATATAGTAATAAGAAGAAGAAGAAGAAGAAAAAGAAAAAGAAGAAGAAGAATAGGTTTGTGCCAGTGGTGGTCGGAGCCCTTGGGCCTGTAAAGAATGGTCTTGAGAAGAACCTCAAGGAACTCCTTGGCCACCACACTGCCCAAAAAATGCAGAAAATTACACTACTGGGAACAGCACACATCCTGCGCAAAATTCGGGATTGAATCCGTAAAGCCCATGTTGGGGCACGACCAACCCAGAAGCCACTGGCTAATGCCGTTATCCACTTTAGAAATAATAATGATAATAATAATAATAGTAGCAATAATTATATATATATATATATATAGGTCCGCGATGAATCACGTATCAACGCTACGACGTGTCTCCACATAATTACTACGCTGATTTTCGCTCTAATTTGCATGTCACATCACCGCACTTATGAAACACTAGCCTCGCCACAAGCAATTCATCTAAATTAATCACCTACTT